GACATATGCCATCAATCTTGATTATTTCATTGGGTTTTGTCAGTTTGGCATGGGAGTTTTGTTTGCTTTTTTACAGTGCTGGGCCTTGGACATAATAGGCAAGTACTCTACTACTAAACTACACTTCCCTGCTATGTTTATTGTTTAAAACACCTTTTTATTGTTGTAATTGAATAACAATTAGTGTTTGGTAAATTGTCACCATTATTGTTGTTAACACTGTCTAGCCTCCCAGCAATTTTATTTCCCTGGGAACTCTTCTCAATGTTGCATTTACCCATCTGCTACCTATTTTGTGACTTATTGTATTTGGTATCACTATTCTGTGTTTTCTTTTGTTCTTCTAAGGGTCCTCTTTGTACTCAGGACTCAGGAAATTTCTAGAGCAATTTGGAACTGATAGACATGAAAGTGATGTAGGAAAGAGGACACAGGCTCCAAAACCTGAACACTTGAATTGGCAGAGCACCAACAGCAATCTGTACCAGTCTTCTGCACTGAACAACTTCTGTGTCTCCTCACTATCTAGCTGTAAAGAATGGTGGTCCCCAGTATTTTGAGATAGGGAAGTCTTGATATTTGAAATAGATGCCTGGGTAATTTTTTTTTTTATTGAGAAAAGGAAAAAAAAAGTTTCTGCCTCCTCCCAGCCTCCCATTTCCCTCCCCCTCCTCCCACCCTTCTCCCCCTCCCCCCACTCCTCTACCCCTCCCTCTGCAGTCCAAAGAGCAGTCAGGGTTCCCTGCCCTGTGGAAAGTCCAAGGTCCTCCCCCCTCCGTCCATGTCTAGGAAGGTGAACATCCAAACTGGCTAGGCTCCCACCAAGCCAAAACATGAAGTAGGATCAAAACCCAGTGCCGTTGTCCTTGGCTTCTCATCAGCCCTCATTGTTCGCCATGATCAGAGAGTCCGGTTTTATCCCATGCTTTTTCAGTCACAGTCCAGCTGGCCTTGGTGAGCTCCCAATAGATCAGCCCCACTGTCTCAGTGGGTGGGTGCACCCCTCGTGGTCCTGACATCCTTGCTCGTGTTCTCCCTCCATCTGCTCCTCATTGGGACCTTGGGAGCTCAGTCCAGTGCTCCAGTGTGGGTCTCTGTCTCTATCTCCATCCATCACCAGGTGAAGGTTCTATGGTGATATGAAAGATATTCGTCAGTAATGCTATAGGATAGGGTCATTTCAGGTTCCCTATCCTCAGCTTCCCAAGGGACTAACTGGGGACATCGCCTTGGGCTCTTGGGAGCCACTCTAGGTTCAAGTCTCTTGCCAACCCTAAGGTGCTACATTTTACACCTGAACTGGATCCCAGCTAGCTCACGTTGTGAATGAATGTGAACGATGGAAAGGACTGAGGTCCTTGTCCTCATGTTAGAGAGAATGAGGAGCACCCTCACCCACACACATACACAAAGTGTTATTTTTGTAGGTTCATCTAAGTAATGTGTTTTTATCTAAAACTATATTCTAGACTTCAAGGTAAAAGGCCTTCAGTTAATGGCTCTAATTTCTGTCGCCTGGTACATACAATCTTATGAATGTAAAGTAACTCTTTTGGAATGTTTTTTGTTTGGTTGGTTTTTGTTTTTGTGTTTGTTTTCAAGGAAGTTGTCATGTAACAATGGTACTATAAAAGAACAGTGAATAGGTACTCAGTAATTTAAGAGAAAATGGGTAGAAAGTGAGCAAATATAAATGAATATTTAGAATTATTCTTAAAGGATAAGCAATAATCATACAAATTTTACTGAAACTAGTTGTTCATGAAGGAAGATTTTAAAATAGGTATCTGAGGCCAGGCACTAGTGGTACACACCTTTAATCCCAGCACTTGGAAGGCAGAGGCAGGTGGATTTCTGAGGCCAGCTTGGTGCACAAAGCAAGGGCTACACAGAGAAACACTGTCTTAGAAAGAAAAAAGCAAAAAATGTGTCTGTTTGAGAAAAGGGAAATTGGAAGATTAAACTGCTTAATAGAACAGTGCCTATAGTGCCAATAGTGAGAAAATACTTCACATGATTTGAGTATAATTTTTCCCTTCATCAGTATTTGGAGAATGGGGTAGAAGATCAAACAGGACCTCACTCTAGCTCAGAGTACCCTAGAACTTGATACAGTTCTGCTTCAGCCCCACAAGTGCTGGGATTACAGGCATAAACCATCACACTTGACCCTTCAATATCTGTCATATTCAAATAAGATTTATATATTTAGATAAATAATGACAGCTTTCATCTGAAGACATATAATAGGAATTTATGGTCATTTAAAATAATCACTTAAAAATGAAAACATGACCGTGAATATCTCACTGTGTCTGTCAACCTCAGTCCCCCCCTATCCTGCCTACCTGTATTTTGAAATTAACTCATAGGGGTGAAAATATATTGTTTTTTTTGAAACATGAGCATTATTATCACTAATTTTATTTCTCAAGTATCAGTATCTATAAGATAGGAAATTATATCTTAAATATCAGGTCAGATTATGTTTTGCAATTTCACTATCTTAGTTATGGTTTCTAATGCTGTGACAAGACAATGTGACCACAGCACTCAGGAGGCAGAGGCAGGTGGATCTCTGTGAGTTTGAAGCCAGTCTGGTCTATCAAGGGAGTTCCAGGAAACCCAAGACTACACAGAGAAACCCTGTCTCAAAAAATAAATGGGGGGGGGACTTAAGATTAACTAATGCTTCCTTGTATCAGGACAAAATTGTGTTTTGTTGATGTTCACCTGAACTACATTCTTTATGGTGCTGTTATTTCCACCACTTAACAGAATAATTTGCTGTCCTTTTACATAAAATCAAAATCAAACTGGAAAGGACTAATGAAATCTGTTTAAAATACTTAGTTCAATACAATCCCTCTTCCATGTTCACCTATTAACTTTAAAATCTATTTTACAGATTTTTTTTTTTTGGAATCTTGGATTAGTTTTGACTATGAATTCTGCCTTCAGTGAACATGAGTACTATTGTACATCTAACTGAAGAGTTGCAAATGGTCCCTATATTGGTTGAAAGAGCCTCCCACAAAGCACTTTGCAAGTTTTTCTTTTCATCCCTTCTGCTTAGGAGGTTGCTTCTGAGATCCAGAACAACCCCCAAGTTGTTCTGTGATTCAAGGAAAATGACCTATCTTGCCATTGTCACCTTTCCCGTAAACTACATGAATGTATTTAAATCCCAATTTAAGATTGTCTCCAAAATTTAAAATAAGAAATCCCTGGCAGGGGGCTGGAGAGATGGCTCAGCGGTTAAGAGCATTGTCTGCTCTTCCAAAGGTCCTGAGTTCAATTCCCAGCAACCACATGGTGGCTCACAACCATCTGTAATGAGGTCTGGTGCCCTCTTCTTGCTTGCAGGCATACATGGAGGCTGAACTCTGTACATAATAAATAATTAAATCTTAAAAAAAAAAAAGAAAAAGAAAAAGAAAGAAAGAAATCCCTGGCATCCTAAAATTGTTCTTTGCCAGAATTTTAGATAAATGACATCTGACCTTTCTTAGTGTTTTATACATTGTAGCATTCAATATCTGAACAGCTTCATTATCGCCACTTTACAGATAGAAAACTGAAGCCAAAGAGGTTTAGGAACTAAATCTTCTAAGGTTTAACATTTAGCAAGTAGCAGCACCAGAATTTAAGCTCAGGCAGTCTCAATTCATCTGGCATCACTAACAATCTTTTCCCCTCCCTTATCAAGTAGTTCATTAAGGTAACAGGATATCTAGTTTTACAGACATTAGAGATTTGGGAAATGTGTTCAGTCACAGTAAAAGATAACTTTATAGTCAACAAATGTTTACTCCAGTGACCTTAAGCAAAGGAAGAATTTATGGGAGGTTATAGAGTTAGCTCGTGGAACTCAAGAGAATAGTTGAGGCTCTAAAAGGACTAAGGGTCAGAGCTAGATAATCAGAAGACAGGTGTACCCTCTTTTCAGATGTCTGTATTAGATCTCCATGACAGACAGACAGAAGGTAAACAAACACTGCTGTCTTCCACAAGTGCGAAGTTCTCAGAAAACCAGAGTGTGAGCAGGATATAAAGTACCCCTGCACCCTAGACCTTGGATACAGACATATATACCATGAGGGTCCTGTCCTTCTCTGCCAAACAAGGAATGTGCCTAGCCTCAATCCCCAGTTTTCATACTGTCCTATTACTCATATAACCTTCCATCTTTTTTTCTAGCCTTTCTTTTCTGAATAAAAACCTTTTGACTCTTCATAGTCCTTGGAATTCCCCCTTTTACTTCCTATATGTTAGACTCTGTATTTTTAAGATAAGATGAATTATCTTACTGCACTTCATCATTTCCCTAGCCAAGCCGTGGACCATACTGATCTCAAGATCCCACAGGTTTAATTATTCATCCAGGCTCTGGCCAGTCCCTTTCTGTCTGTCAGAATCCAGCCCAGTTTTCAAGGCTCCAAGTCATTTAAAAATTCTTTGTTCACTTGTTGTTTGGGTTTGTTTTTTGAGAAAGAATCTTCTGTGCTTCCCAAGCTGGCCTCAAACTTACAGTCATCTGCCTGCTGCTGCTTCATGAATACTGGGATAACAGGCATGAACCACCACACCTGACTTTCTCTAAAGAGTGTTATGTGATCCTGACAACACCTAGGGTGACTAACTAAACTTGCATGCCCAGGAATTCCAGGGACATGTGAGTTTCAGTACACAGGACATTTGTAGGCAGACAAATTCTTAAGACATCCTACAGCCCCCAGTGTCTCCTCATATACTGCATTGCTTGGACAGAAAGCCCTGTGAAAGTACCAGGAGCCAGTACTTCAGCATTTTACACAAAGTCCTTTCCACATTACTACTTACACTCTTCATTGTAGAGACCCATTGGATTCCAGTTCACACAGAACACATTATTATACTCACAATAATGCAAACTCAGAGGATTTGTGGTGTTTAGTTTTCAGTAAGCACTACACGGCCCCTTTTTATGTTAACATAACATTATGTCTTTATTTTTCCAGCCCAGATGACTTACTCAATGCCTTGAACGAGGGTATCAGCCGTGCTGATGTCATCATCACCTCAGGAGGTGTATCGATGGGGGAAAAGGTGAGACTCGTGAGATCTAGTCACTTTAGTGTCTTTACCATAGACCACCGCTGAGCTGTGCTTCTCTGATAGAACATTCTGACCCTAAGCAACATAGAGAAAAAAATTAGTAACTTACACTTCCAGGTTCATCATTCAGGGAAGTGGGGACAGGAACTCAAGTAGAAGCTTAAAGCAGAAACCATGAGCTTGCAGGCTCACTTACAGGCCACCTATCCATAAAATAGTGCCACCTTGTGGGTGGGCCCCCCAAAATCAACTAATAATGAAGACAGTTCCTCACAGAAATGCCCACAGATCAACCTGATAAAGACAATTGAGCCTTTTTTTTTTTTTTTTTTTTTTTTTTTTTTTTTTTATCGTATTTTTTTTTTGTTTTTTTTTTTTTTTTTTTTTTTTTTTTTTTTTGATTTTCAAGACAGGATTTCTCTGTAGCTTTTGGTTCCTGTCCTGAAACTAGATCTTATAGACCAGGCTGCCCTTGAACTCACAGAGATCTGCCTGCCTCTGCCTCCCGAGTGCTGGGATTAAAGGTGTGCACCACCACCACCACCACCACCTGGCTGAGCCTCATTTTTCAGATGATTCTAGGCTGTATCAAGTTGACAGTTAATACTAACTAGAACAGATACGCATCTATTATTCATGAGAGCCCCACAAAGCTGAAAACATGAAGGTTTTAGAAAGTGCTGATCTTTATTTAAAAAATAAAATAAAAAATAAAAACTCAGTCAAGGTGCTTACATGAGGAGAAGTGTAGAGGAAAATCCCACAAATTGTAGAATGCGTTTTGCTCTTTCCTTATTAGACATTTGTTTTTCACTTACTTTTACAGCATTAGGACTTCCTTTATGTTTTACATTTATGCCCAAGATAAAAATCTACAATTCTAAAATTTGAACATGACCTCCCAGATGAAACCATCTCACCCACCATATTTTCTTATATTTTTGTTTATTTGTTATTTATTTTATATCCCAACCACAGCCTCTCCTCCCACTCCCTAACCTCACCTCCCTCTGCCCACACCCCCACCCAGTCCACTCCTCCTCTGTATTTCTCTGAGCAGGCCTCCCACGGGCATCAGCAAAGGATGACATACCAAGTTGCCATAAGATCAAGAACCTCCCCCTGTATTCAGGCTGGACAAGGTAATCCAGCATGAGGAATAGGTTCCTAAGAGCCATCCAATACACTAGAGACAGCCCTGCTCCCATTTCCATGAGTCCCAGAAAAAGGCTGAAACACGATTAATAAAAACTCAGAGAAATTGAAGTTCAATCTGAAGGTCAGAAAAGCAAAATATCCAATCACTGGCTCTTATCTTGACCTCAGTCCGAAAATGGTGATCCTGCCTCCAGGAATCTCAGAATGAGAGTGTGTTTGAGAGCTGTCTCCTCCCATTTTAATCTTCTCTAGGGCTGGGATTAAAGGCATGCATTGCCTGGTTTCTAGAACCTACTGTGGATACTGGGATTAAAAGTGTGTTACCACTGCCTGGTCTGTAAGGCTGACCATTGGGGCTCTTTTACTCTCTGATCTTCAGGCAAGCTGTATTTACTAAAATACAATTGAAATGCCACTACAGTAGTACAAGCTACACAACTGTCACATTTATACAGAGGGCCTAGAGCAACCCTATGCAGGCTCCCTGGTTGTTGGTTCAGACTCTGTTTTTGTTTTTGCTTATGTTTTTCAAGACAGGGTTTCTCTGTAGCTTTGGCACCTCTTCTGGTGGTACAGACTCTGTAAGTTCCCATGAACCAGGCTAGCCATTTCTGTGGTTTATTCCTGTGGTGTCTCTGACACCCCCCCTCCCGCCCCTCCTTCCCCCCGCACCTCCTACAATTCCTCCTTCCTCTCCTCAGCAGGTCTCCTGGAGCTCAAGTGGGCTCTGGGTCTCTGGACCTACCTCCACCACCTTCATCAGGATGAAGGCTCTCTGGTGTAACCTGGGTAGTTACCAATCCAATCACAAGGGATGGCCACATCAGGCTATGCATCTACGGCTGCCAGGGGTCTTAGCTTGAGCCATTCTTGTAGACTGTTGGAAGTTTCCCTTGCCTCAGACTTCTACTCGACTCCTTAAAGCCCCCCTTTCCAGGTATCTTTCTCAACACTCTCCCCCTCCACCCACCCCACAAAATTCCCATGTCCACCGGCCCCTAGTCCAACTAGGAGATCACCTCTATTGAGCCTCATTATTACCTAGGGTAACAAGGGTCTGTGAATTGTAGCATGGTTATTCTTTACAGTTAATATCCACTTATAAGTGAGTACATTCTATTTTCGTCATTCGGTGACTGGGTTACCTCAGGATAATTTTTTTTAGTTCCATCCATTTGCTTTCAAATTTCCTGATGTCATTATTTTAAACAGCTGACTAATTGTTGAAATATGAGCGGTGGCGGGGCTGCGTCCCCAACACCCCGGCCGCTTGGCTAGCTCATGCCCGAAATAACAACACACAAACTGTATTCATTTAAGAACTGCTTGGCCCATGAACTCTAACCCTTACAGGCTAATTCTCGCACCTGGACTAGCCCATTTCTAATGATGTGTGTAAGCACCCCAAGGTGCGCTTACCGGGAAGATTCTAGCCTACATCCATCCGGGATTGGAGGAGCTTCATTTCGTGCATCTGCCTGGGAGAGCTGAGCATGGTGTCTCTGCTCCAGCAGAGCTGTCGGGTCTCTCCGGTCCCTCTGGAAGCAGCGCAGAGTCTGACCTCACTTCCTCTTCCGCCCAGCATTCTATTCTGTTTCCTCCTCCCATCTATCTTTTAACCTATCAGAGCCAGCAGTTTCTTTATTGCTCAGCCAATGAAATCAACAGATTGATATGACACTCCCACATCAACTAATATTCCATTATGTAACTATACCACATTTTCTTTATCCATTTTTCAGTTGAGGGACATCTAGGTTGTTTCCAGGTTCTGGCTATTATGAATAATGCTGCTGTGAACATAGCTCAGCAAATGTCCTTGTGGTATGATTGAGCATCTTTTGGGTATATGCCCAAGAGTGTTATTTCTGGGTCTTGAGATAGATCAATTCCCAATTTTCTGAGAAACCACCATATTGATTTTTAAGGTGGCTGTACAAGTTTACTCTGCCACCAGCAATGGACGCATGCTCCCTTTGTTCCACATCCTCTCCAACATGAGCTCTCACTTGTGTTTTTGATCTTAGCCATTCTGGCAGGTGTAAGATAAACTCAGAGTCATTTTGATTTGCATTTCCCTTATGGCTAAGGATAATGGAACATTTCTTTTTAAAAAAAAATTTATTTATTTATTTATTTATTTATTTATACAATGATGTCTGTATGCCTGCAGGCCAGAAGAGGGCACCAGACCTCATTACATATGGTTGTGAGCCACCATGTGGTTGCTGGGAATTGAATTCAGGACCTTTGGAAGAGCAGGCAATGCTTTTAACCACTGAGCCATCTCTCCAGCCCCAATGGAACATTTCTTTAAGTGTTTCTCTGCCAGTTGAGATTCTTCTGTTGACAATTCTCTATTTAGGTCAGCATCCATTTTTTTAATTGGATTACTTGGTTTTTTTTTTTTTGATGTCTAATTTCTTGACTTCTTTATATATTTTAGAGATCAACCCTCTGTCAGATGTGGGGTTGATGAAGATCTTTTCCCATTCTGCCATTTTGTCCATTGACAGTGCTTTTGCCTTACAGGAGCTTTTCAGTTTCATGAGGTCTCATTTATTAATTGTCATCTCAGTGTCTGTGCTACTGGTGTTCTATTCAGGAAGTTGTCTCCTATGCCCATGCGTTCAAGGCTGCTTCCCACTTGCTCGTCTATCAGCCTCAGTGTAACCGGATTTATATTGAAGTCTTTGATATACTTGGACCTGAGTTTTCTGTAGGAAGATAGATATGGATCTATTTGCATTCTTCTGCATGTCGACATTCAGTTATGCCAGCACCATTTGTTGAAGATGCTTTCTTCATTTTATAGTTTTGGCTTCTTTGTTAAAAACCAAGTGTCCATAGGTGTGTGGGTTTATGCCTGAGTCTTCGATTCAATTCCATTGATCAATGTGTCTGGTTTTTATGCCAATACCATGATGTTCTTAATATTCTGTAGTTGATCTTGAGATCAAGGATAGTGATGCCTCCAGCAGTTCTTTAATTGTACAGGAGTGGTTTAGCTATTCTTGATTTTTTGTTCTTCCATATGAAGTTGATTATTGTTCTTTCAAGATCTTTAAAGAATTCTGTTGGAATTTTGATGGGGATCATACTGAATCTGTAGATTGCTTTTGGTAAGATGGCCATTTTTACTATGTTAATCCTACTCATCCATGAGCATGGGAGATCTTTCCATATTCTGATATATCTTCTTCAATTTCTTTCTTTAAAGACTTAAGTTCTTGTCATACAGGTCTTTTACTTGCTTGGTTAGAGTTACCCCCAAGATATTTTATATTGTTTTTATCATAAGAGAGTTGTTTCCCTGGTTTCTTTCTCAGCCCTTTTATCATTTGTATATAAGACAGCTACTGATTTTTTTTTAGTTAATCTTATATCAAGCCACTTTGCCAAAGGTGTTTATCAGCTATAGAAGTTCCCTGGTAGAATTTTTGGGACCCTTGTGTATACTATCAAATCATCTGCAGATAGTGAAAGTTTGACTTTTTCCTTTCTAATTTGTATACCCTTAGTCTCCTTAATATCTAGCTAGAACTTCGAGTACTAAATTGAATAGATATGGAAAGAGTGAACAGTCTTGTCTTTTTCCTGATTTTAGTGGAATTGCTTGAGTTTCTCCCTGTTTAATTTTTTGTTGGCTGTCAGCTTGGTGTATATTGCTTTCTATAATATAATTATATTACAATTAGATATGTTCTTTGTATCATTGATCTCTCCAAGACTTTTATCATGAAGGGGTGTTGGGTTTTATCAAAGGCTTTTTCAGCATCTAATGAGATGATCATGTGGATTTTTTTCTTTTAGTTTGTTTATATTGTAGATTA